TTTTCCAATTAACTGCTTTTTTTAAAATTTCAAATTTATAACCTGCTATGTATGTTCAGTGGTATAAGTTAACCAATAATTAGGAACCTAATTAAAAGCACAGATAATACTCAAATGTTTTTTTTGTTCTTATTTTTCTTTCAATACTTAGAAATTTCAAATTTCTCCCTGGATTAGTTGGTAAATGCACAACCCAGGTATGTCCTGAGCCATACAAGGTTCTATAGAAGGGTACTTTTTCCCTTGTATTCACTGAGTTACCTGACCTCACCCACAAATATACGGTCAATTCACTTTACAGCATAATCTGTAAAGCGCTTTGAGACGTCGAGAAGACGTGAAAAGCGCTATATCAAATGAAAGGATTAGTATTATTATTATTACTTCATCTGGACCAGCAGTAGGAATGTTATAATCAGTCCACTTGGCTTCTTTTTTCGTTATGGCTACTGTTTGCCCCTGTTGGTATGTGTGGATATGTGTAAGAGAACTCCAGCTGTGATGCCTCACAAGGTTGAAAAGCCTTAAGTTGCCCAGTGCATGCATAGAAAAATAATCCATTCATAGCAAACCTTATAACATTGCAAAGTGCTTTGCACAGTGAGCTACTTTGAAGTGTAACCTATACCAGCAATGTCCCACAGCAGTAAGGGGAATTTATTTTTGGGTGAATTTTGGGGGAGTGGGAGTTGCATTGGTCAGGACACCGAGAGTACTCCCTGCTCTTCTTCAAAACAGTGTCACAATTTGTCAACACCAACTGGAATAGGCTGACAGCATTTCATCTTAAACTTCTTATCTGACGACAGCTGACACATTAAACATTGCCCCTGGAGGGCTGCACTGTGGTGCCCACTGATCTATTCCCCCGTATCCTCAGCCAAAATTAGGAGAGGGAAGACACATTTATCCAATCAGACTGTGTGCCCTGGAATCTGCTAAGTGCACAAATATTCAAACATGGGCTTGATGTTGGCATTCTTTGATAATGTGCAACGAACTGTGGCCTGAGGCAAGACTCTTGCCATTTTTACACTGCGCCCAGTCGGGCACCTCAAGAGTCCTGTTTCATCCGACGTCTTGGTCAAGATGTAAAATTTCTGTCTGGTGGAGGCAGAGGGACAAATGTCCCCACAGCCTGGGAACTGGACCTTGTCTCTGGCTGTAATTCCAATCAGGAATGTTTTAACAAACTACAATACAATGAACAGTTTTGGAACTTTTCAAAAACATAGTTACTGTAAGAAGTACAGCTGGTACCCTTGAAATAGCCCTGGGAAATGGCTGTCTTTTACAACTCTTTTTACAAAGTGAAGTTATCCAGTACATTTAAGTGCAGAATTACATGGCTTCCACTTAATGAAATTGACCTCTATTGTTATTAAGTTGCCAGAACTAAATTCCACGGGATTGAATAACAGGATGTTTTAGCTTTTCAAAAACACTCAGTACAAAGTAAAATAAAATATTTTTATCACTGGTCGCATTCCCCTTCTTGCTGTAAAGTAGGCACCACATTCATGCTTTCCTTCAGTCAAGAGGGTGGGACAGTCTAGATTGAGGTCCACAACAATGCCTCTCTGTCTCAGCCAACAGGAGAGTCTTATTGCTGTGGAAGATTAGGTTTCAGCACCTGAGATGGAGTGCTCTGCGTGAAGAGAAGCTCCGTCCAATAGTTCAGCTGAGAATCAGCAAAACCTGTCCGCAGAGATTAGTGAGGTTTGAGCAAGCAAGAGTTCTGGACTTCAACTCAGACTCCCACAATGAGAGTCCAGTTACCAGTTGCGTAGATGAGCCAAAAGGCAAAGAGTAATAGACCAATTCAAATATATAGTGTAACTGTGTTATGCCTTTACTTTTCTTTAAAAATAATCAGCATTCTGATTTTGAAGACTGTTATTTTAGAAATGTTTATTTGATGAAAAACAGGGCTCTTTCTGAGAAATGTAACAGAAAAGAGGGTTTAGCTCTCAGGTGGGAGTTATTGTCTGCATTTTAACAGCAACCCATTACTATCAACTCTAATTACAAATTTATGACAGATAACATTAGAATGAAAAAGTTTCCATGCAATCAATCTGTATCGCCAAGGTCTGTTCAAATTTTATAGTGCGCAGTTTAAATTACTATGAGTCATTCAGCGTCTACTTGCAAATGTTTGCTGAGAAATGGATGTCATTTTTCCTGGATAATGCAAAATGCTATTTTAAATATCATACATATGTGTAAATTTGTACATCTGAAGTTTAATCAGAATTTCCAAAAAAAAAGTGTTCTGAAGGTAAATGTGAAATGTTAACGTTTAGTAAACTGTCGACTTTTGCAAACATTGACCTATGATGTAGAAAACTCCTGTATGGTTGAATTATTTAAAAAAAGGCTCGAAATGGTTACTTTTTTTTGATTGGTGAACAAGGTTTGGCCCCACTCATCCGTTTAAACCCAATTAGATCGAAACACATTCCTCAAGGGAACAAGGGTTGACCCCAAAGACAACCTCCCACCCTCCCAAACTCTCTAGGCGCTAAATTGGCAAAGGATGATGCAGACCTGATATCTGTCTTCACGACCATCTAAGCAAGTCAAGTGCTTCAAACCGCACCTTCAAATCCCGCCTAAAGATCTTCCTTTTTGATCGTGCTTACGGTCACCTCCCCTGTCTCTCTCCCCCTGGCTCAGTGTCAGACTCTGCCACTGTCAAGCACTCCGGGTCGCTACCCCGTGTAAAGGGCGCTATATAAATGCAACTTGTTGTTCTTGTTGTTGTTGTTGACTGGATCACCTCTCCACCTGGGCAAGTCTGACCTGAGCCCTAGTGTCCAAGTGCTCAAACTAGCTCCATATTCCATTATCTCTACTTCCTCTTTGTGAGGTCAGATCAAACTCCCTAAATGGTTACGTTATTCTGTATGACACTACTGCACTGAAATGCCAGCTGAAGCTCATTGCTCACTGCTCTGTTGCACATCCGTGCTCAACTGATCACTGAGGACGTTGCATCCCACAAACCAATGTGACGAGTTAAAGTAGTTCACAGCCAGGCTCCTAAGCGGAAAGACTGGAATTTTTCAGCGCAATCGCAACCCACTGTCAAAGTATTGGAGCTGTGGTGGAGTTTGCTGCCCCTAAGCCCGCCCCAAAAATGCTTAGAGATATGAGGAGGGATGAGGCTGTGAGATGCGCAACAAAAATAGTTTAAAATTCGTACAACCTTTCACCATTGGAAAAAAACAAATGGGCTCGACAGGAGGGCATGTGCAGTATGTGGGATTAAGACTGAAGTCCTCATCTGTCAGGAACTGTAGCTGGAATAATATGAAATGTCCAGCAAAGTTTGTGCAGTGGAATTAAATGTTGAGTTCCCTTGTCTTTCATTTCAAATTTGAATTCCCCATCATGATGTCAGCTTTCCCTAATACATTGGCCACAATCAATTGGATCCCAACATTTTGAGAGTCTAATATAATAATAATAATAATCCTTGAATTTGATATAGAACCTTGTAATACTAGATCAAGCTTGGGCAGAATTTTTTTTAACTTGGTCCATTTAACTTTGCTTGAATGTCAAAACATTCACAATGTTGACTTTAGCAAACAAAAAAAATAAAATGTCCTTCTTTGGTGTCCCAACTCTGGAGGCTAACATACAAGCTTAAAATCCTTGATCTATTTTGGAAATAAAAATGTTTTCAGCTGTTTAATGACCTTGAAGCGAGGTTATATCAGTTGTCTGGTGCAGTAATAATATTTGTAATCTGTGGTACATTCTGCTTTTTTTTAAAAAAGTGGGGAGGGGAAAATTGAATGAAAATGTTCAGAGTGGGCTTGCTTGTGAAAAGAGCCTGATCACATCGAAGGGTTTTGTTCAATTTAGCTATTGCTATCAAAATGGTGTCAAAGCAAACATTTCAGTGGCAAACAATCAGTCTGGCAGAATTCAGCTTTAAAACAGCAGAAAGTAATGGTGGAAAAAATGGAGGAACTATATTTTTGCCTAACATAGCTTCTCATCTGTGTGACAGTTGCAGCCACTCATGTTTTTGAGCTGCCTCATGGAATCTGCATCGTTTTATATGTGCTGCTTTTATATAAAAAAAAGCCTTTTAAGAGATACGCAAAATGCTTTGTGAACTTTTGTGAAACTTAAAGAAATGTGTGAAAACATAATGTGAGGTGCTTGCGGATTAGTGAACCGATGTGAACGTATTTCTAGATCTTTGATGAGCTTCTTAAATTTAATATATCTGTTTGAAGCTTAGTTGCAAATACCCATGGCTTTTTATGATTGTAATCATGGGTTACAGCAGTACATACTGTTTCCAGGCAGCAGAATAATCAGCTTTAAAAGATATTACTTTAGTTGACCAAAACAACTCCCTTCGTTAATTTTTATTCGAAAGCCTTGCTTTCACAAGGTTTATTATAGATGCATCATTGTTCAGAATCAGACAATGAGAAATTCAGTCATTGCGGTTTAAGTGTTTTACATAAACTGGCAATGCCGATCTCACTTTTGTTCAAATTTAAGGTGCAGATGCATAAAAGGATAAAAGTCTCTGACCATTTTGCCTGGTCCTGATAAACTGCTACAAATACGGTTAAAGTAGGCAAACACGATGTGAATAATTCAGTGCTGTTCATCATTTATTCAGAATTGCAAACAAGCTAATAATCAAGGATACGATAGTGGAAATAAAACGTTAAACCCACACTCACAGAAGCACAGATGCAACTGTGATTCAGTTCTGCTTTGTCATTTGAAATTGAGACCTAGAGCTGGGTTTTTGTTGTCCCTTGCTTCGTGAAATCAATATAAAATGAATTTGATGCTGGATATTACCAGAAGCAGAAAATAGAGTTTTGCAAATAGTAATTTGTCGTCTTGGAACTTTTATTGTTTCTATCTATTGAATCCAAATTTAATTTTTGGTGGAACGTACTTGTATTTTTAATGTTAATGTTATTTTTTTTTCGTCCTTTTTTTAATCAATATTAGGAATGGAGGAAGCAAGTTTGTGCCTTGGTGTACCCTCAGCTGTGCCTGAACCTAATGCCCAGCTCAACAAACCAGTACTTAATGTCAACAAACCAGTACTTAATGGCCAGTACCCAATAAGCCAGAAGCTGCATCAGTTGACAACACAACTGGGACATGCCTGCCCAGAGCTCCAGACCAGGCAAAACCCTGAGGAAAAAGCAGCAATAGCACTGGAGGATAAACGCCAACCCATCAGCAGCCAAATGACCCTGCTGGCAAATCAGCTGAATGCGGATATTGACACAAACTTGGGTATGAATGGGAGAGTTGACTTACAGCACTTCTTAAATGGACAGAATCTGGGCATCATTTCACAGATGAACGGCACCGAAGATGACGCAAAGAAATCCAGAAAGTACCCGTGCCCCATTTGCGGCAAACGCTTTCGTTTCAACAGCATCTTGTCTCTCCACATGCGCACCCACACTGGGGAGAAGCCCTTCAAATGCCCTTATTGCGATCACAGGGCAGCCCAGAAAGGCAACTTGAAGATCCATCTCCGCACTCACAAACTTGGTAATCTCGGGAAAGGCCGCGGGAGGGTCAGGGAAGAGAACAGGCTTCTGCACGAGCTGGAAGAGAGGGCCATCCTGAGGGACAAACAGCTGAAAAGTAGCCTGGGCCAGCCCAAGGCTGATGGCAAGCAGCCTGTCATTAGCTCCTCTAGTTTGCCTTCGCCAGCCAGTCAGGGCAGTTCCGACGCTTCCAATGCAGTTTCCAATCCCAAGCCGCCAGGCACGCAAGAAGAGCCGACTGCTGCCGCCATGGGATTCAGATGCACCTTCTGCAAAGGGAAGTTTAAGAAACGCGAGGAGCTGGATCGTCACATCCGAATCCTCCACAAACCCTACAAGTGCACGCTTTGTGAATTTGCTGCCTCGCAGGAGGAAGACCTGATTAGCCACGTGGAGAAAGCACACATCACTGCTGAGTCTGCCCAGGGACAGGGGTCTGGTGGCAACGGAGAGCAATTGGCCAGCGAGTTTCGCTGTGAAGTCTGCGGCCAGGTCTTCAGCCAGGCTTGGTTCCTGAAAGGTCACATGCGAAAACACAAGGATTCCTTTGAGCACTGCTGCCAGATCTGTGGACGTCGTTTCAAGGAGCCCTGGTTTCTGAAAAACCACATGAAGGTGCATCTTAATAAACTGGCGGTCAAGAACAAATCTCAGAATAACCGAGAGGTGCCTGTTACCCTGAATGATATGGTGCAAGAATCCAATTCCAATGTCTATTCGGCATATGTATCGTGTTTACAGAGCGGTTTCCTATCTCCTGACAAAGCGAGCTTAAGCGAACAAAACCAGCTGCATTATAACAAAGGGGAAATCGCAAGGAAGGAGAAAGAAATGCTTGGAAAGCTCATCATGCCCATGAGCAGCGCAGGCCGTGTCATGGCAGAGGGTGACAAGCGTTCCTTGCTTGGGTATCTGAACCTGGCCCCTCCCTTGAAGGCGAGCTGCATGGAACGGTTGCAGGCAGTGGCCCGAGTGGCAGAGTTTGATCCAGTTAACAGTTACCAGGCCTGGCAGCTGGTGACGAGAGGAATGGCTGTGGAGCAGGCTGTCCTGCCAAAAAAGCAATACCTGCAGCCTGGTCAGGAAGAAGCTCTGGCAAACGCAGGTGTCATCTTTGATAAGGAGAAAGGAGAATTTGTCTTTGTAGCTGGAGATAAATCAAAGCCCAGACCAGAGGCTGATTTGATTCGAAGCACTAAAAGAAGTAACCTGACTGATGTTTCAGGTAAAGATGATTCATTGGGAAACAGGGAATTTGTGGCACAAGGAATGAATCAAGGACTGGAGTACAAAATTTCCGGATTGGGACAAAACCACGGAACTATGAAGGAAAAGCCAACCGAATGCTCAGACTGTGGCAGAGTATTTCGAACCTATCATCAAGTTGTGGTTCATTCCCGAGTGCACAAGAAGAGCAGGAAGCCTGGTGATGAAGGCCTCCAGAGTCCATTAGATGAACGACGTGGATCTGGAAGTGACCAGGATTCCCAATCAATCAGTAGGTCAACGACACCAGGATCGTCCAATGTCACTGAGGACAACACGACTGCGGGAGGTTTCTCTATGACTGGAAGTACCCAGGAAGATAGTCCAAACCCGTCCTCACCATCCTCTTCAGGTAACAGAATTTTTTTTTTTTGCATTCCAAGTAGCTTTCATTGCTTACTTTTCAAACCCCACCTTCAGAAAATATTAGCCATAGCGATCTGATCACAAATATAGTTTGACCAGACAGCTATGGCTGAAGTTTTCTCCCCAAAGACTGAAGCTTCATTTTTTACCCATTGACAGAGCGCTTGCCGTTTACGCAATCTGTCAACACTTGACACAGTGTCGTTGAACACCGTCAATTGTAAATTCATTCAAACACCTTTTGTCTTGACCTCGACTGTGCAGCAATGAGACTTCCCAGCTTGGGTGCAAACCCTTGACTGTCCAGCACCTTGAGACATCCTCCCGATCTGAAAGGCGCTATATAAATGCAATTTGCTGTTGTTTATTGACCGTTGCTTGCATTTTAAAATAAATGCATAAAATCTTCAGACCCATGATTACTTCATGATGCTGGAATCACTGCACACACCCTGAACATTTGCCTACAAGCTGCACATTCACTACAATTCACAGTATATCCTGTCAAGCTCTTGGAGACGTGCTCCAGACACTACATCAAATACAAGGATTATTATTATTATAACAGAATCAAGCAATTTGTATGCGTTTTCTTTTGAGCATAATAATGCTCATATCATCTATTTCTATTTGATCTCAAGGATATTCAATTCTTGTGTATTTACAAGGAGCAACATTTATAATTCATAATATAGATTTTATGTGTATTTGTTTTAAATCCAAATATCAGGTTTCTATTCTGTTTGCTGTGGAACCCAATTGGTAGATACTTTTTTCTGTCACTCAATGCAAGATGGGGAGAGATTAGAATTGATCAGAGGAGTGTTTGTGTGTGTGTGAGAAAACATAGAGAAAGGCAAAGTAAAAGGATGAGATTTACTATCTCATTTGAGTTCCTGCTTGAACATGGTAAAAACAGCAACTCCGTGAATTACTTTCGTAGTCACGCAATTCTGTTAGGAGGTTCTTTCTTTCTTTTTCAAAAACCTTAAGTAATTTGCCAAAACACTGCTACTCAGGCTGTGCATTCCAGAGATGCATGCAGTATTTAATGTCGCTGTTTAAATACCCATGAAATATGCTTAGCCGGTGCCAGGGTAGTGGTCTAATTTTGGATTTATTACTTAGAATGCACATTAGATGGCCCAGCTGAAAGAAAGGGAGAACACAGCAGATGAATAAACAGTATTGAATAGTAGGAAGAATCTTCCAAAGGAACACAGTTGCTTTGACTAATGGAGGCTCAGGGTTCAGGGTGAAACTGGTTTACATTCATAGATCCCTATCTAAGTGTTTTGTTAACAGAATGCCTATAGTGTAAGATGCAACTGATCAAAATGCTGTCTGCCACATATTTGCATAATTTTTTGACATTTGTTTTCCACTCTCCCTCACACAAACAGTTTCCCTCACGGAAAGTAAAATGTTTTCATTTCACCTTTTCTTTTCTGATCGATCCCTAAGACGCTTCACAGAAATGACAGTGATGATAATAATAATAATAATAATCCTAGCGTTTCATATTGGGAGGACATCTCAAAGTATTTCGTAGGCCAATGCAACAGCCAGTTTGTCAATAGGAAAACTTCCATTGTTCATTCTAGATTTTTTAAGCTACGAGAAATAGAGTGCAAAAGCACTGCTCGGTGAGGAGTGCAAATGTAATTGTATCTTCTATTGATCATGTGTTGCTGTGATTCTGTGCTAGAGACATTGAACCAATTCCATTATTAATGGAAACGGATTGGGCACTTCCAAACCCTTTCAATAGATTTGGAGGGGTGGAGGCAGGCCTGGAATTCAAACACCATCACTGACTAGTTGGGCTAAATTACCTGTTTCTGTGCTGTAATATTCTATGTCATTGTATAACAAAATGTGTAAAAAAAATTGTCTAGAATGGGCTCTTAGATGACACTGAGAGCTAAAATGCAGGATTTCTGACAGGGTTAATTGATACATTAGAATTAGATACATTAGAAGATACAAGTGAACTGCATAAAAGGGTAGTTCGTCCAGAAAACGCAGGTATGAATGTTGAGCCACAGGAAGTCCTCTCTGACAGGATCCACCACTGGGCTAGAGAATCCGTGAGTCCCAGGGATTTCTAATGGGAATCCTTACAGAAGAATCTCACCAAAGATCCTCCACTGCGCCTTTAAAATACAGTGAGACGTGTGTACCGTAACCATGGAGAAAAAAAACCTAGTTATTTTAAGGCACTGTTGCATCTGTCCGAATATATGGTGAATTAAGTGAATTAGGTTGGAAAATATTTGAAATGATTCATGGATGTATTTTAGAAGCACTATTAACAAAATGTAATGAGATTACAGTAAATAGAAATTAAATCCAAAGAGAAGTCTGCATTATAAGGAAGAGCTAGTAACACTAAGCTAGGACACCACAGCAGGAGGCTCAGTCTATATTGTGTGCATGCCACAGAAATGTTAGACTGATTACTGAATTTGAGGCCAGGGTTTTTTTTTGTTATTAAATGAACATTCCAGTGAACCTACCAAGTGAATAAGTCAGTCCTTTCACTCCTGTATTGCTCTTTGCTGGTTTACTTCCCCCCCACCACCACCCCACTGACCTCCCTCCCGAATTTTAACTCTGCAACTTGTGATTTCAATACTTTGCTGTACTGTTCTGCTGCTTGGCTTTAACAGTGCAGGAAGATTGAATTCATTTATAACTCATCTTTTCATTATTATTACACCGATGTTCAAAATCAGGTCTATGGTGGAGGGCCACAAAGGCACAAGTGAAGCAATTGTTGATTGATTGTGCTGCTTTGCCAACCTAAATTCCGAGCTGAGCTTCTGTTTGAAACACACGTCTCAGGCTGAACACAAGTGAGGTCAAAGTTGCATTTAGACAGTTATGAGTAAGATGTGTGAATGTGACACACACAGAAATAGTGCAATATCCAGCTGTTCGCTGGCGGAGTAAAAAGAAGTGGAAATCAATGAACAGGTGAAAATGGGACCAATGGACCAGAAAACGTTTTTGTGGTGCAGAGTTCTCATCGCTGAACCACAGTGTTGTTCAGTTTTTGTTATTGTGACCTCTCTTACCCCCCATTTCCCCTTGAGAGACTGAGGATCAACAAATAGAACATAACAGCCACAACCAGACATAACTATGAACAGTTATGAAAAGTGCAACAGTTTTCAAAGCTGAACATGAACTTCTTATAAGATATTTGGCACTTGCCTATCAATTACCTGTTTGGATTACTTTTAACTTACAAATGCATTTGATTTCAGTAAGGTGAGAGTTAACATGAGAGTTACTTTAAAACTATAGATAATGTTTCAAAGCTGTGCGATTAAGAATAGCTTAGATTCCCATGTTGTGGTACCCTGAATCTGTGGGTAAATTATTTATTTCACTGTTCTAATGGCCAAAGCTCTAGTGTTTGTTCGTGCAAATCTACTGTGTCCACTGCCCAGGTTCCGAGGGAATCTCACATATTTCCAAATGCACAAAAGATATACAGTCAATTAACTTCACAGTATATTCTGTGAAACGCTTTGAGATGTCTCGAAGACTTGATAAGGCGCTATATCAAATGTAAAGATTATTAGTATTATTATTATTAAATGCAAGACTTTTACAATACATTTGAAATGTTCAAGCAATAACTGTGCAGAAGTTAAAAAAACTCTCTTCCATTTCCAGAGCACGAAAGCTAAACTGCCTGAAAGTTTTGTGACTTGAAACTATTGTCTAACAGTCTAATACGTTCTAAAAGTAATTGAGATGTTGAGCCCAAGATTTAATTTAACACCGCTTTACAAGAAACATAACAAATCCATTCTGAAGTAGCTTGCCCTGAGGGGTATGTCAAACATGTAGCTTTGAAATAAGTCAGTTCTGTAACAGACACAGTAACCTGAGCTACAATGTACTTATTAGATGTTCATATATCTAAATTAGAGATCAGAATGCCACTGACATTTTTTTTAACTTTGTTGCAAGTTAGTGCTGAGTCAAGCTTAAAGGTTAAATGTTAAATTGAGTGACTAACAGTAGCAGTGTCAGCCTGGTGCTATGGTAGCACTCTCGCCTCTGAACTAGAAGGTTTTAGGTTCAAGCCCCACGTCAGAACTTTGAGTTCACACCCTAGCTGTCACTCTACTCTAGTCTTACAGATAAGATGTTAAAACCTGAGGTATCTTCTACCTGTTCATACGGACATCAAAGATCCTATGGCACAAATTGAAAAAAAGAAGGGAGTTTCTCCCAGTTCCCTCACCAAATGGGACAATAAGTTGTGCAAATTGGCAGTCATATTCAAAAACATATTTTTTCAGAAGCAGGAATACTCAGGTCGTATAACAAGTAGTTTATAAACAAAGGAATTACATATAGTTTTATGACCTCCTGTCTTACTACAGTTTCATGAAAGATACCAGCATCTTTCTACTGTACATGTTTATGGATATATATACATATACATATAGTTTTTGAGATGGGGGAAATCATTGTCCAAATTGATATCATTTACATAAGTAAATCTGATTCAATTAGTGCAACTAATTAATATGTTATCTCTTCTAACATAATGACATGTCCTTCCAAATTTCATATTTACGAATTTTTTGAGTTACAAAAGAACATGTATTTTCTAATTAAGATTTTTAATATGCCTGATTTGCATAATTCATAAGTATATTATTCAAATTCAAATATTAATCATATGTTCCAAGTTTGATAAAAATAGGAATTGTTTTTACAGAGTTATAGGCAAAAGTCTAGTTTCTAATTAACCTGGTTTGCATATGTAAAGTAAGCATAATTATCATCAGTATTAATATGTTATCCCCAATACATACCAATTATGCCCTCCAAGTCATATAAAGGTAGTGCTTTTTCTTTTGAGTTATTCATAAAATCCCCCAAAATGTTATGCAACCACATTGCTGTTTATGCTCTGTAAGGTTACCTGCGACAAGATAAAATGTAAATGCATGCCTG